CGAGACAAAAACTCTGCAGGAGCTGCAAAGCAAGAAAACAGAAATAAAATATACCTTGCAGAAGTAATAAGACAGTTCAAACTTGGTCCAAATTAAAACTAGAAACACACAATGTTCCTTTTAGATTTAATGCAACACACCAAGAAAATGAGGTACATAAAAATTAAGCTGAAAATTATTATGATTATTAAACTTTTATGTTTAGGGTCATTCAGAGGGAAACCGTAAACACAGCCACACTAAAACTGATTGGTTTAGTTGAGCGTTCTCAAAGTCCTGTCCTTGAAATTAAGTGTTCTGCAAAATTAACGTGCTTTTCTGCTCCAAAACACCTAACTTCAATATGAGCTCATTAGCTGAACTCTGCAGAGCTTGTGTGTGTGCTACTGAAGTAGTTTATTTAAATCAAGTGTTTGGAACAAGGGACACATCTGAGTTACCAGACAGTGGCCCTGGAGGATTGGGGTTTGAGGCCCCATCAACGTAGAGGCAAGATGAGGTGTAACCAAAGAGATATTTTGTTGTTTAAGCTGTCTATCCAAATGAACTCACTGTTGTTGGGGAGTATAAGTGTATAGATAATTTTTTTAATCAGGTACCAGAGCGCTAAAATCAGAGCACGTCGGTTTCATGTTTCCATTGGTACAGTAGCAGCAACTCAAATTGGCCCATCCCAGTCAAAAGCCAGCCGAATGGCAGCAAAATCCCCTCCAACTTCCAGCCACTGGCCCTCTCATGGGCGTGCATATTTTTTTCCTCTGACTCCACCCTTTCACTAACTTACGGGGCCTGACCTGTAATCTTTAGATCTTTTAGATGTTTAAAAAAGAAATTTATTGGACCAGCCAAGGACCAGCAATGGGCCCATATGAATGGCTACTACTGTACATGCAAAAACATGTCATTGTAGCTCAACCTACCCCTATAACCCACATGTGTCTCTTTAACGCACTGCATGATTTTGTTTAGTTGTGATATGTGCTACATATATACTACATCTTGACTGGTGTTGTCTTCTTTGTGGACATAATTTTTTTCTAAGAAACAATACTGTATTCGTCTTTGTGTGAATTAGGCCTGAAACTACTGGTTTAAACTCAAGGGAATTGTTGTGTTAAAATGGCTTTTTACAAATATGGATCTAAAAGACCTTAAGAATCTTTGTTTTGTGGATACTCTGCAATTAAAAAATGGACAGGTGTTTTATGTTAATCTAAAAGATGTAAACATAACAGAGGTATATTTGAAAAGTTGAACCCTTATCATCCTCAAAGGTGGTACCCATGTCTGATGACTGAGGTAGGCTGAATACAAATCCATCCCATCTTCATTTTTATGTATTTTTTGCAGTTTTTATTATCTATAGCATTAAGTAAAAATACATGAATGTTTGTATTATGAAAGTATATATGAAAATATGCTAAATGAATAAGGTACAGTTCTTAAGGAAATTCTTGGTTTTTATTTTTCTGTCTTTAAAGACAATTTCCGTGTCAATATTTCTTCCAAAGCCTCTGTACAAGGGTGGGGGGAATTTTAAATGAATGTTCCATCTTGCAATACAAAAGAGCCCCGGTCCAAAAAAGAAAACTTTCGGCTAACAAACCTGTTACAGTGCAGGAGCCTGCAGATGACCAAGAATGAGACAAATGTTGATGCTTTACTTGGGAGACAATTGTATTAATCTCCTTGAAGATTAAGAACATTTATATTTTCCAGCTGTAGGAGTTTTCCTAAACCTCTGCTGTGAAAGGCTACAGCTTAGTGAAATGGGGCATATGTTCTGGCAAATAAATATATTTTCTTTCCCCCTAAATGCTTAGACCTTTGATAGTTTCTGTTTCTTCTCCACCCTCGCCCCCACATGTAAGCACTGCCCCCTTGTGTTAGTCTTTGCCAGGATATTCGGTTTACTTTGCCCTGAATTGACCAGACGATTCATTGGGTTATCATTAAAAAGAAAGTGTGTATATACAGTAAAAATTGGATAAATATCTGTCCACCCGGATCCGATAGCACATATTAAAGTGAAACTTTACTATAATGCAAATGAGACAGTCAGTAAAAAACCCACTCATGCACATCTACATAAAATCTCAGTTCAAAGAGCAGCGCAGCTCCACTTGAGATATGCCTCTGGACAGCATCAGTATGATGAAGAGGGAACGCTCTTGACAGTGTTGTTGGTGGAACAGCATCAAACGGTGGTGGGAGTGTGTGCGTACGTGGATATGTCCCATCTGCTGATAAAGTCCACACATGACACAGTCCTCCAGTGAGAAGTGAGGTTGTTCATATCAAGTGTTCGCTCATAGCTATACATGGTGTTCTTTGTGTCTGCTGAGTTTGTCTGGCCTACCGGAGTGACATCTGATCTGATGCCTTTTGAAACATCTGAACCTGATGAATGGTGTCAGGAACACTTTTGTCATGTCTGATATGCAAATATGTTACATTACACAGGCTGGTGGAGACGTTGTGCTTGAGTTATTCAGCTATTACAAGGAATTTATATTGACAGTAACAGGCTGGTGATACAGAACTACAGACAGATACAAAAACAGCCAAAAGGAGCTGTGCCTTATCAGATATTCTATGTTCATACTCTGATCTAGTTTCTAAAGGGATTATTTTTACTTTAAGGTGTGTTTCAGTATCTAGTGAGACATGCACAAATTGAGAAAGCAAGAACAAGGCAAATTGAGAGAGAAGAATTACCCCCCGCACACCAATGAAACTACTGCTTAGAATCTGTGTTGTATGGAGTCTGTTTTCTGCAAGACTGAGGATCTAAGCTGGTCAGAATGGCATCTGGCTCCTGATTATTCACACCTGCCATCTATCTAAGGCAATGTTTTTCAACCCTGGTCCTCAAGGCACCCTGCTCTGCATGTTTTGGATGTTTCTGAGGTTCAGCAAACCTGATTCAGATGATTGCAGTTCAGCAAAGCCTGATAATCTGCTATCAATTGATAACAGGTGTGTGAAAGCTGGGAAACATCTAAAACATGCAGGGCAGGGTGCCTTGAGAACCAGGTTTGAAAAACACTGATCTAAGGAGCATTCTGCAACCCTTTCTTTGCCCGATGGTCAACTCTCAACTGGTATAGACTCAAAATACTCTGTTAAACCTATTTTTTGTAAAGCAGCTTTTTCTTGAGTTAACCTCCTGTATTCTCTGTGCGTCCTTGTTCAAATTTCATGGTTTAACTTCTTTCTCACAAGAAATTGTGGACTTGCGGATCTCCTTGGAGCAACACTCTCCTCCACATGTTTCCAGCAGAACCCTGCCTGTCCATTTTCAGACTCAGTCCTGTAAAAACCTCCTCCAGAGCCCAAGGAAAAGAAACAGACAAACCCCCCAATCCTTCATCCCTGGCCAAGATCTGTTTCCTGACTTATGACTTTTCTTTTCTCTGGGCCAACCAGTAACTCATAACTAGTGAGCCAGTGAACAGGATACTTGCAAGAATATGAGTTTGCTGTCTGTGATGATTCTCTTCTCCTTCCAGACACAAGTTGAACCTGAATTCCAGAAGCTGACATTAAGTACATTCTTATAAAATAAAAAAGTTGACTGAGAGTGCTGTAGATTAATGCATGTGGGCCAAAGAGATTTTCTTTCTTGACTTTAACAGTCTTATGTAATTCTTCTATAAGGATCGCTAGGTCTCTGAGCCATGAATTGACTAAAACAAAAGTTTGGGATGGGCCCCAATCATTAAGTCAATCTTTTTTAATGGGGGGAAAAAGCCTTTTAACTCATTCTTAGAGCATTTTGGGTGAAATTTAAATCCTTAACCCATACATGGCCCAGATTGAGCAGGTTTGGAAGTTCCTTGTTTCTCTTTGAATACAAAACTGATTTGTAACCAAGAAAAAAGAATAAGTGAATATAACAATGCATCCTTATTGTAATAACTTGGTCAGCTTTTTGTCAACCTTATTTTAAATGTGTTGTTTCGGTGAGTCTTTGCTGGTTAGTCCATTATTGTACTCCTGTCTTTCTCCATTATCTCTTTCCATTCCTTAACTACGGACTCGGCTCTCGACCAAACACAGAAATAAGGGATTTTCTTTTCTGCTTCCACAAAGATAAACATATAAATAGATTAATTCTAATGTCTTTTCATTAAACTTGCTATGCAAGACATTTAGGTTAGAAAAAAAAGTCTTCTATAAACCGTTTTAGACTTTATGAAAGTCTAAAACGGTTTATAAAAGCTTCATACTCCTCACATTGGAATTGAATAACCTAAAGTGTTCTTGAAATTGGTTAATTAGTGTGTTATATTATTGTCTTGCCATTCATTATTATATTATTTTTACAGTGAAAGAAATAGGTCTTAATCTTATCATTTAAATACAGTTCGAATATTTTTAATATGTTGAATGGGGCCAAAACCAATTAGAAGACTGACAGATGGACATGACTAATGACTTGGGTTATAAGACCCCTGAAATCACACACACCCAATTGAGAAGTCAAACTTCTCAGTGATTACAGATGGGTAATCGCTGAAAACATAATCATCAAGAGTGAAAACACCTTCTCAGATTAAGATGAACTCTTTTTATATTGTTTGCATGTAAGGATTTCCAGCTCACTTTTTCATCTAACGGTGAAGAGTTCCTTCATATTTATTGAGGTCTTTTAATGGTTTAGCTCCACATGTACTTCTACTGTATAATGATTCCAGTAAGCCATCTAAGGGCTAAGTACACAAAATCACACAATTGGAGTAAAAGAGTACTAAACTATACCCATGATACTTTGTTATATTAATGTTGGATCTTCACCCAGAGATTTAAAACAATTTAAAAAAAGTTTCTAATGTGTATAGAGAGATGTTTTTCTGTTTTTAAATATGTAGATAAATAATGGGATTATTGAGAGGTGATTCATTTAGAAATTAACGTCTGTTTGATTTCTTATGGGACTTGGCTTGGTCTGAGTGTCATGAGTAAACACTCTGTTGTTGTTAAGTGTTTGTACTTACAGAGAGCATTAAGCAGTCCACAGGGCTTTCTTGTGCTTCGCTGGCATACTCAGAGAGTCTGTACTGAGTGTAGCACCAAAGAGACTTTTCTGTGACAGAGAGAAACGATGGGGATATCTGGCTCCAGCCGCATGGTTAATAGCCACGGCCACTGCATGAAAAAGACATAAAGCAGCATGAGCAATGGATGCTTGGATTTTAGTGCTACCTTTATCAGCTCTTACTGAAACTAAGATGAAAAGGTTGATACCACTCTTTTATCTATCTTCTGAATAATAAACAGCCAGCAGATGGTTAGTTATGCCTACTATAAATATAAGAAATGAGGGTATGTGCTAAAGTGAGTTTTAAGCAGGAAAAAGCACAAACACTACATATGTATTTATATTTTCTGAAACTATTCTGTTTATACTATTATGTGACTGAGTAGATAGACATATGAAGCAGTGCAAGAAGTAAATATAAACAAAAGCTATCTTATAAAAGTAGACTGCCAGGACACATCAATGTAAAAAGTTTGTTTATTCATATGCAGGATATTAAACAGCTCCTGGGATAAGAACAGTTTTTTTTACCTCATTATTTCTCAAAGGCAGGAAGAGAAACCTATAGAGATATCTGTCCAATTATATGATCAGTAATGTGTAACTATCAGTCTGTACAATCGGACACCTTTATAGGTTGTGGTTACACTACTTTTATTATTTCCTTGTCTGTAACTTATATGTGCACTGTACCATCACAATGCAAGTTATTTCAGACCCACTGCTTTGTTGTCCCATTAGACCTATGGCTGATATTCAAAATCACTCTCTTAGAGTTGCACATCTCATCAAGGTAACAACAGATCTGATTGCCTCGGTCAACAAGTATATCAAAATCTTTGGATCCTTTTTGTTTGCTTAGTCAGCTGGTTACTTCCTTAGCAATCTGTCAAGAAATGTAACTTTACCAAGAGGTCAGATCACCAACATGGTCTGTATTAATTTAGAACGTAATATGTACGCTAAGTATGTACGCTATAACTACCCCGTGCTTGTGTTTTCCATTCAGTGGACACTGGCAACTGCTGCTCCATCTATTTCTCTTTCACAATGTACTATGGCTCCAGATGTTCTTTACTCTTCTGAGCACTACTGAAAAAAAAATCCTTGTATTTTGCCATTCTCTTTGCCTGTGCTTACTGGTAGGTTCTGATAAAAAAGAAAAAAAAATACTTTGTCACAACAAAGTATTGTAACAACAAAGTAAAGTATTGTTTTAGATATCGACTGCTCAAAATAAAGGGGACACTCAAGTAACATATCTTAGACCTGAATGAATGAAATATCGTCATTGAATACTTTGTTCTGTACAAAGATGTTCTCAATCAAATTCAGGCAACGACCGCTCCAGTCCATAGCTTCAACACCTTCATTTTGCAGGAACTTCTGAAAAACATGAGTCACATGAGGTCTCACATTGTCCTGCATAAGGAGAAACCCAGGGCCAACTGCACCAGCATATAGTCTTGCAAGAGGTCTGAGGATCTCATCTCGGTACCTAATGGCAGTCATGCTGATGTGAAATGATGAAATGATGTGCTGCCATCCAAAGAAATGCAACCCCACACCATTACTGATCCACTGTCTGAAGTATGCCAATCCTGGTGTTCTCTGGCAAATGCCAAGCATCTTGCACTATGTTGGGCTACGAGCACAATCCCCATCTATGGACACTAGGCCCTCATTCCATCCTAATGTAGTTGATTTCTAACCCGTTATGCAGTTACATGCACATTTGTGGCCTGATAGGGGTGCTTTTGCAGGGCTCGGGCAGTGCTCCTCCTCCTTGCACAAAGGCGGATGCAGTGGTCCTGCTGCTGGGTTGTTTCCCTCCTAAGGCCTCCTCTACATCTCCTGGTGTACTAGCCTGCCTCCTGATAGAGCTGACTGACACAACAAACCTTCTTATTTTAGCTCGCATTTATGGACCATCCTCGATGAGCTACATTACCTGAGCCACTGGCGTTTGTTGTAGAGCCTGTCTCATGCTACCGCAAGTGTGATTGCCCCACCAGTATTCAAAATGCACCCAAACATCAGTCAGAACGCATAGGTACTTAGAACTGATCTGTGGTCCCCACCTGTAGAACCACTCCTTTATTGAATGCGTCTTGCTAATTGCCAATAATCTGCACTTGTTGTCTATTCCTTTTGCAAAACAGCATGTGAAATTGATTGTCAAACAGCATTGCTTCCTAAGTGAACAGTTTGATTTCACAGACCACTGATTTAATTGAAGTTATGTTGTGTTGTTTACATGTTCCAATTTGTTTTTATGAGCAGTTTAGAAACTTGACTATTGCTCTGGGATGTTCCAAGTCTGGTAAACATGGGTTTTTCCTCTGCACCTTTAAATGTCCCCATTTCAATACACCTGAATAAAATCAAATTGATCTAAAACTTGGGAAATCTAAAATTGAGAGGACTGGAAATTACATACCGACAATACTTATTATTATTATGCACAGCCATACCATAATGATAATTCAATACTTCCTCTGACACTTCTAATATGTTTTGTACAAGATTCTGATTTTCTTGTACATGAGTAGTGCCACATAGTTACATTTTCTGTCCCTATGGTCACTGCCAAACCTACATAAAAACAATGACAGGTAGACAGCAAACATAAGCCATACATCTAGCGGGACACTGAATCCACATGGGCCAAATGTTCTGGAGTTTCACATATCAGCTTACAACGTGGATTTTATGTTCTTTCTTGAGTCATTTTAAACTAACTATCCAAATAGTATGGTAACAACTTATTTTTAAAATTTGTTTTCTTCTGATATTAAAGCCAAATGGATTTATGGAGTGATTTAATCATTGCCAAAAAACATAGTGGTATTCCTCAAGGCCTAATTATTGGGCCACTTACCCTAGTTAACAATACGAAATACTAGAAAATCTCTTATAATGTGTACTCTAATGAAAACAACTTTTTTATTTCCTGTCATCACATGATCAAAGTATATTACAGTAATTGAGTCAGTGTGTCCATAATATTAAAATGGTTATTAAGTTTGTCTTAAACAGATTTAATGTAAGAGCCTTGGCTTGACCAAGGTTTACATAAAATACACACAATGAATAAAAATCAGCCATCTTATTATTAGCCAAGAGAATTACAGCACCATCCCCTTCTCTGACTTGCTAGATAAATAATCTAAAATGCAAAATTGATGCATTAAAGTATATTAAAACTGTTCAGTCTTCCATTCTTAAAAAAAAAAAAACAACAAAAGGTACAGCATTCAACGGGGAATAATGAATCTGTCACAGTTGCTATTGAACAAGAGGCTGAGAAACAACTTCTGCCAAAGCAGAGGAGGAAGAGACAAGGGCAGGTGATAATGGGATAAATCTTTAACCCTGCGGGCACACAGTGTTGCACTGCACTAAGCCAGCCTCTGCTGGTGAAGAGATCTACTGCCATGATAACGCCTTATGATATGTTGCCCTGTGTTGGCACAAGAGCTCTTGGCCTGTTATAGAGTGAAACTCACTGCTGGGTCCACTCATGGGCGGAAAATCTGAAGAATATAACTCTGCACAGATCAGGTATTTTAAAGACTATTGCAAAACTGACACATTCAGGCTCTTAGGAACATCGCTTTAGTCTCACATAGACCGCACATCGTCCAAATGATTTCCCAATGGAGAAAATGTGCCTAATGATCTTTGTCTCTAGTGGGCTAATTCATTTACTACGCCAAAGCTGCCGGTGTGATCAGACACTGCATAAACCTAAGTGTACTTCAGACTTCTAATCATGCAGGAGGATGATGTAGAAGCTCCAAGCAATACCGCTGAAAGATGATGAACATTATTCAAAAAGTTTTTACATCATGAGAAGCACTTAAACTATCTAATAAGTAGCTTTGGTTTAAACTCTTCTTTACCAGCTCACTGTTAATTCCCTCCTGACCAAATGTGTGGTGTCTGTTCAGCCATACAGAACATTATCGCCTAATTCTCATAAACATGCTTTGGACTGATTGGCTGTTGGGTAGCATGACCCAAGATCAGTATCTTCTATGCTGTAAGCAGTGGATTTACTGTGGATTTAGTGTGTGTTTGTGTGTGTTTGTGATGTTGTGGAGAAAAAAGTTAAGAAAACTAGCTCTTGAATGGCACAGCCTGGCCCCAGTGTCTCTTTATCCACACTCTATCACCTAAATCTCCCATGAGGAGGGCCTCTGGGGAGAGGAAGTCTTATTTAATAAAGTGGCTAGTCTGTACTGTTGACTGTCATCACTAAGGAGCACTAAACCTTTGGTGAAAAGCAATCTCACAACCTTACACAAGATGCTTTGTACTTTATCCCTTTTAGAGGGACAATAGAGAAATAAAACTGAGAGCCAGCCCTGATTCATTAAACTTCTTCAGCATGAAGCAGAAAACAGCAAAAAAAAAAAAAGGCCCTTGCTTGTTTTCTTTTTTTTCTAAACCTTTTCTGTTTTTGCTCAAATTATAAATTAATGGCATTTGGGAACTAGCAAACTGGCCACAGACATCCCAGGAAAGCAGGTCTGCTAGATGCAGAGGAGGTTTTATAGTTTGGTTTTCTAAGTAAATAATTCAGAGTGGTGATCTCCTTTTTTCACATAGAAGCAGACCAGTTTAATAACATGCACGGCAATTTTCTGTTCTAAAGTGATAGTAATGACTCTTAAAGCAGAGTGATGAATGGTACATTTTGGTTTAAGCAAAGGTTTGCAGGTAAAAACACATTTCTATATCTGTTTAGGCAACACAGTGTCAAGCCACATACCAAAGCCAGACACAGAAGTATGTGCAGAATGATAATCATGAAATGTGTTCACACAAACAATTCTCTTTTGAGTTTTAAACCTTGGCTTAGTTTGAGATAAGTTTGAATACAATTTTTATCTATAGTCTTATTTTTAGTCGGTACAATAAGATGCTATCACAGTGGTAGAACCGTTGAAGCTGGTAGGGAAGTGGGAAATTTTGAGTAATGGTAAATGGCCAGTACTTATATAGCGCTTTCTCAAGTCAGAACACTTGACCAAATTGCTTTACACTACATTCTGTCATTCACTCATTCACGCTCAAACTCACACATGATGGTGGCAAGCTA